TTTTTTTTTTTTTTTTTTTTTTTTTTTTTTTTAAAGAAGAATCTTTTCTTTTCATAAATTAAGACCAATTGTTACATTCCTCAGTTCTTATAAAGTTTCTTTAGGCATTAGTGCAAGTTATTGGATTAAAGTTACTTTTTTTTTTTCAGCTGATTTACAGCCTTTCCTACCTTTGCTCCCTGACATATCAAGCCTCGACCTGAAAAATCAAGAAATTTTGTTTCATACTTTGTTTTCTGCTGGAATAACTGCTTCTATATCATTGCATAAGGTGAGTTCGCAAAAATTTCATTTTTTAATTTTACTTCTGCAGTATTTTTCCTCTTTATATGTTGAGAATCTTCCATTTTTCTTTATACTTCTTGCTGAAACATTCGTTTTAGTGGTTAACTGTAGCTTCCGGAGCAAGTGTCTCGGTTAATTTTGCAAAGAGTAGCTGCGTGAGGAACGAAAAGATGGTTTACAATGGGGAGACAAGCTCTGAGCATTACGATGGTTCCTGCTCTCCGATCCAAAATGTCCCTTTCGGCCCTGAAGATGCCGAAGTGCTTTTTTGCTTGTATATTCGTGTTTATTTAGATTTCAGAGGAATTTTTTAAAAAGGGGAATAGAGGATAAGCTCGTGTTTCAGTTTTTTCCACGTCTTCTTCAGGCTTTGAAGACCCTTTCGCGTACTGGCTTACTCGATGATGCTGTTGAGGCCTTGCGGCAAATACCAATGGTTCGTGAGGATCTTGCCGGTTTGAAAGATGAAGATGTTGCTGCTGCCACTTTGATTACACCTGAAGTTAGTTCTATTGAAATAGTTTTTTGATACATGTTTATTTTTTGTTTTATGAATTCGTGATTATTTTTCTCTTGAAAACTTGAGTTCAATTCCTCAGATTGCTGCTGCCGCTTTGACTGCTTTCGCGTGGGCTACAGCGCGCAGGCCACCAACGAGATCGGTCGAAGGCCTCATGGCAAGTTCTAATGACCCTGGTGCCACAACAGGTGGCCGAGATTCTGCTGATGATGAGTCTGTTGAATTGAACTTCAGCGACTCTGAAGACTGTGATCATAATGGTGATTCGCTTTTGGGTCTCGCTTGTTCCGCTGGGGTTAGTTGTTGACTTTTAATGCTGGCAATTTTTTTTTTTTTGGTGCATGTTGGTCGAGAATTTCTATCGAAGTTTTACAGTTATTTGACAGCATTACGTGTAATATTTCTTATTTTTTTATGTTTTTTGATTTTAGTATACCGAGTTAGCGAAACAGTTAGTGAAACTGAAAGGCGATGCAAGTTATAGCGGATCAAAAAATGATTGTACACCCCTTATGGAAGCATGTAGTGCTGGTCTGTTTACCTTTTTATTTGACATTTTCTTCGTTTTCTACTGTTTTTTCTCGTTTACGATGGAAAATTTGATTTGAAGAAAAGTTTGGCTTCTTTTGTGCAAGGTACTTAATATTGAGCTTAATTTTATTCTTTTTCGCTTACTTTTTTAAGTCGTCCAGCTTTGGTAGTGTAGGTACTCTCTAGATTTCTAAATTTTAGGCCATGTCGAAATTGTTGAGCATTTATTGCAAAAAGGAGCTGATGTTGATGCGGTGAGTGCTACCCAAAACACTGCCCTAATTTATGCTGCCGCTGCGGGCCATTTGGAGGTGATCTTTTTATTGACCTTTTAAACTTTGGAGACTTCTTTCTTCATGCCCTAAGTTTCTAGAGGAAGAGGATATGGATGGACAGTTCACTAGCTTAATAGTACAGTATTTTGTAGTGAACTTTCTCTTTCTTTTTGGTTATAATTGAATTTTTATGTGCTTTTTGCCTTTTTGCAGCATACTGCTAATTTATTTTGATTGCCTCTCCAGTTTGCAAGAATTTTTAACATTATTTTGTATTTGTTTACATCTTTCAGTGCGTTAAAGTTTTATTAAAGTACAATGCGAAGGTTGATATTCGAAACGACAACGGGCACTGTGCTCTCATGGAAGCCGCAAGCTCTGGTACCGAATTTTTTCTACTTTCTCTTCTTGTTTCCATTAACACTCGTAATTTTAATTTTGTAGGTATGATTGTTTCATTCAGCTCACTCTGTTTCTTTTTTTTTTATAGGTTTTGTCGATGTGGTTAAAGTTCTTCTAGAAGCAAGCCCCATAACTGCTGTAGCTGCCAATCCTAGTGATTTTAAAGTTGGTTTAGTAAGTTGTCATTTCCAGTAATTATTATTGTTATTGTTACTTCACTCATTATTATAATTTAGTTTGCTATTATTCCTTTCATTACCTAATTTAGCTTGCTCTGTTACGTGTCTTTTACACTCTTCATCGCTTCCTAAATTTTTGAAATTAAAATGTGGTTTTAGGAGTCTCCTTTAACCCTAGCTGCGTATAAAGGTCATTTTGAAATTGTTCGATATTTATTGGAGAAAATGGGAGATAATAAAAATCAGGAAGAACTGCATACGGCGCTGATGGAGGCCTCTATGGATGGGCACCTTGAAGTTGCCAAGCTTCTACTCGATAACGGCGCTGCTGTAAATTTGGCCTCTGACTCTTTTGAAAGCCCTTTGACTTTGGCGGCGTGTGGCGGCCACTGTGCATTGGTTTGTTTTTATATTCTACTCTTCGCTTGTTCTGTCGAGTATTGGAAATTGGTGACGATTTTTAGTTTGCAGTTACTTTCGTATGCTTAAATTTTATTTATTTTATTTTATTTATTTTTTTTAATCTAGTACTGCTTCAAGCTTCGCTGTCCCTGTTTTTTCCTCTTCTTCAATTCTTTTTACTAAAGCTTGAATTTAAGTAGGATGATTCATTTTAATAAATCTTTTTCTAATTAACTGCCAAGAAGTTTAGGTGGAACAACTGCTGGACCGCGGCGCTGAGTTAGAAGAACCGAACGATGAAGGTTATACACCACTGATGGAGGCAAGCAGGGAAGGACACAAGGTGGTATTATATCTCGGAATTTGTGCTTGTATTTTTTAATTTTTAAATGTTTATTGGTGTTTTTATTAAACATAATAGATTTTTATCTTTGAGTTAAATAGATTTTTATACCGCTAAGTTTAGAACGTAGTTCAAGTTTTGCTGAACCGTGGAGCAAATGTTAATGCACAGACGGAAGAAACAGGCGAAACAGCTCTTACTTTAGCGGCATGTGGTGCATTTATGTATGAGTTCCATCATTTCTTTACCCCCCAGCGAGTGGTTTTTTTTTATCTTCTTACTCTAGTTATTGTTTTGATTAGCTGCAACGGGGTTTTCAGTGATGTTGTGAGGTTGCTAGTAGAGCGTGGAGCAGATTTAAGCTTGGGCGCGAATACACCGCTTATGGAAGCTGCCCAAGAAGGCCACCTTGAGACGGTAAATTATGTCCTCTCCGAATATCGTCGACAAAATGGACGTTATGTACGTTGGAAGTTTTGTAGTGACATTGTTTCGTACCAGTTACTCTTAAACTTTTTATTTAATTGTTTTGCAGCTCCCCGTAAATTTTAAAAAATTCGATATTTTCCTCTCCTTCTGTTTGCATATTTAGTAGATAAATTTTTTTGATTCAGGATGTTGATGCAGTTACAGCCACCAGCGATACTGCACTTACATACGCTGCTGAAAATGGTCATTTAGATGTTTGTTCAGCTCTAATTGAGTATGGGGCCAATGTGGTTGGTCTTAACAATAATTTTTTGAAACAAGACGGAAGTATTCATTGTTAACTTTTTAAATAAATTTTTCTAAGGATCATGAAGCTGAAGGAGGTCGGACAGCGTTGATGAAAGCCGCGAAGAATGGAAATTACAGTGTAGTGCAGTTCCTCATAATGAGAAAAGCGAAAGTAAAGGATTTAGTCATTAATTGGCAGTTCTGGTGTTACTTGTACGGTAATTTTTCTTTTCGTTTTAGGTGAATAAGGTAACTGCTAATAATGACGCTAGCGCGCTTTCATTAGCTTGTGCTAATGGACACTGGGAGATAGTTCGATTATTGTTAGATCATGGAGCCGATCCGTGTCATCTCCTAAAGGTGAGTTGCTTTGTAGAGATCAGTTGGTTTTGTGCTGAGCGAAATACAAATATTTTTATCAAATGTTTACTGGTTAAGGTGAGTTTGGATTATTGGTTTTCCAGGATGGGACTTCTTGCATAATTGAAGCATCTAGAAACGGGCATACGCGTGTAGTTGAAACGCTTCTGAATTGGTTTGGTGTACCTGCTTCTACACGTGTGGTGAACCAAAATAACAAATCTTGTTCGCAAGGGAACCGAGTGAAGAAAGTTTGTATTAAAGCTCTTTTCTTACTCGTTTGAATTCAAATACTGGTTTGTTTGGTTAAGAAGGGTTCACAATATATCACTGAGTCTGCGTTTCTTAGACATGTTGTCTGTGAAGTTTTAGATATTCAGAGCATGAGCTGTACATAAGTTTTGTTAACGTGCATTTTTTCATTTATACGATTTATTACTTTTCGCATGCACTTTGCTGAAATTAAATTACTAGTTTGGTTCAGGTGGCACGACGGGGTGCTTCAAAGAAGGCTACCACAACGTCACAGCCAAAAGTGGAATGCGCTGAAAAGTCAATTAATGCTAACAGTGATAAGCAGGAAATTGGCACCTCAGATCTTTCTTCGATTGCCGGGTCTGATGTGGCTCCCCACGCTCCTTTCAAGCTAGATACAAGCAATGATTCAGGACTTATCGACATTGTTCATCAGTGTATCACTCCTTCTCCTCTTTCTGGTTCTATTGTTCCTCCTCATTTTCTAACTCATTACCAACAAACATCTATCAGTCCTGACGAGCTGAGAGGGATCATTGCGGGTATGGCGGCGATGGCGGCGCAGTCGAATTCGGTAGAGTCATTATGCTGAATTGTTTCCCTCCTCACTTTCACATCGGTTTTTTCTAATAAATGCTCCTTGCTAGACGAGAATGTTGATCACAGAGTATTTAATCTTCATTGTCAATGAGATGTAACTAGGTTTTTAGGTCCCAAGTGATAAACTAATCGCGCAAATTGCTCAGAAAGCTTTACGAGGTACGATTGGTACAATTGCAAACAGTGAATGTGGGATGTCGGAACTGAAAGCTCAGCAGCATTTTACCGAAATGTTTAAACAGCAGTTGAGCGCTTTAGCTGGCCGGCAGAAGGATTCTCTTGGTTCATCTTATAGTACCTCTGTTGACTCTGTTGTAGAACCGGGTACAGGTTAGTCTGATTGTTGAATTAAATATAATTGTCTTCAGAAGCACTATAGCTTTTCATAGGTAATCTGTAATGTTTAGGTGGTGACACCTCTTGTACGGCATCCGTAACGTCGTCTCCCTCTCCTCCTACTGTTGCATGTTGCGAAACGGCTGCTGCCCATGCATCTTTACTTCTCGCCTCAAACCGTTCTCCAGTATTTTCGAATGGAAAACGCAAAAACAGCACTTCGTTAAATGTTACTTTTTAGCTTTTTGCAAAGGGAAACTATATCGTTAACAAGGAATGCACTTCGCATCTGTAATATTCCTGATTTTTTTATTGTGGCAACTTTTTCAAATTGTCGTTTAGGAAGTCAATAAAGGTACGACAAAAACATCCCAACAGAAGCGTCTTTTGAAGGGCTCTGGAGCTGATGCTAGTGAAATACCTTGTGCTCCTCCACCAGGAACGTCTTTAAAGTTTCCAGTACCACCTCCTCCTCCTGGTTCTTCAGCAAATGCTTCACGTGGTTTGTGATAATCTTTAATGAATCTCTAGAATTCCTGTTTAGACTCTCAGCCATAGTTTTAGAAAGCATTGCAATGCCTTCACCAAAGATGCTGAAGCAGACGATTACTGCTACTGCAGCACTCATTCATAGCAAGATCACTCCTATTACCAACATGGATGAAATTGTCTCCGAGGACGGGAAGGGAATAGCCTCGTACGTTTTATATAAGATAATTATGAGCTTTTAATTTTTTTCATTGCTATGTATATTACACCATTAATTTTTTTAAGAAGTCGGTCACGTCGTGCTCTTAGCGAAAGTGCAGTTCATGATGAACATCAAGGCAGAATTGTTGAAGCGACGGTATGTGGTGAAGTAGATACTGATGATGAGTCTGTTTGCGATGATCGTGGTCCAATTAGGGAGCAGCCTACAGGTTTTTGCAGTTTCTTCAACAATGGAATGCCATTCTAACTCCTTGCCTTGATATAACTATTTAAGATGTTTTTGACGTGAATATGCAGACCGAATCGAACCATGATACTGCCTTAACACTTGCTGCAACGGGGGGCCATGATGCACTAGTTGAGTTATTGATCGCCAGAGGAGCTGATATAGAACACCGTGATAAAAAGGTCTGCTCTTGTCAGTTTAAAGAAATTTGAGATTCAACGTTAACTCATTATCTTTCTTTGCTAGCTGATGCAATTTTGTGAAGTAGTTTTTGCAGTATAAGGATGTGTTTTAGTCGCCGTTGCTCTTATTAAGTATCTGTCGTTTTATGGGGCCGCTCTTAAGTATCTTCGTGAAATGAAGTTGTTAAGAGTTTTTGGGTGCTTGGTGTTTCATTTGTGCAGAAAGTTGATGTAGTTAATTTAGGGTTTCACACCGCTGATACTGGCAGCAACGGGAGGTCATATGAATGCTGTAGAGTTGTTATTGAATGCCGGAGCTCAAATTGAGGCGCAGTCTGAACGAACAAAGGACACAGCGCTGTCTTTAGCTTGTTCGGGTGGTAGAAAAGAAGTAACTGTTTTTTTCTTTCTATTTTTATTGTTGAGATTTTGGTCGAGCATTTGGTTGTTTTATTCCATGGTGCACTAGGCTAGTGTAGTTCAAAGTTTTCTGTCTAACTTCGCAATAATTTTAGGTAGTTGAACTACTTTTGAAGAGAGGAGCTAACAAGGAACATCGAAATGTTAGCGACTATACCCCGTTATCTTTAGCTGCATCAGGTGGTTATGTTGACATTGTGAATATGTTACTAAATGCTGGTGCGGAAATCAATTCCAG